AAACACACGAACGGCTTTACATTTCCTGTCCAAGAAGGAAGAGACATAATGAATAAGGGATGCCAACGTATCAGTGGTTGACCCGAAACTGTAATAGGTAAATTGATTGGGATCGGGTGCATTCAGCTGGGGCAGCATCTTTTGTATCAACGTATTTCATCAGGAGTTAAACACTGTATCGAGGTAACGTATATAGGACTTGAAGTACCCCCGGGGTGTGCATGGTAAACAAATGCGATCGGTTTATGACCATAACCACTCGGTTGATAAGCTGTAGAACAGACCGTTTGACGGGGAACTAATCAGTCAAACAGTGTTGGCAAAATACATCACCTATAATGCCACGATGGGCGATGGTGGATCAGTGCTAATGTCAACAAATTATCACCCTGGAGGACGTGTTTTCGAATCCCACCGGCACCGCCACCACCACCACCACTACCACCACCACCACTACCGCCTAACTTCCCCATTCTCTGTTTGTTGCATGACAACACAATGGTATCGCACACCTGAGCAATATGAACATGATCAATCGTACTGAAAACTATAAAATCATTCGAATACGGGAGGGTCTTTTATATCACTGTAGTAGAACAAATTATAAAATTCCGATACATATGCACATTCATATGTGCTCTCTTTCATTCGTGAGTTGAGATGAGATTAATGAGATTGTATCCTTGAAAACGAACTTCTGCGTGTGAACATGTATAGTAATGAGAATAGTTCATTTATTATCAGTTTAACCTTTAAACAACATAGCCATATTTTTGAGCACACGTTTTATTTGATGAAACAAATGACGTGAACACCTTCTTTTGTTTGAATTCTCTAACCACTATCCCAACCCCCCACCCCGCTTCGCCACCGGGCACGGATGTGTGTCGAAAAGCAGAGCTTCCGATGTAACCAATCGGTTGATTGTTCAAGTGGATCATTCAATTTATCAACGTGAAACTCGAGCTCAGATTGTTCTGTCAAATCACGTGAACAGTTGGACCGTTAATTTCGGTGATCAATTATACATCGGTGCTATCCCAAACACCCTAGGATGGACACCAACGGTATTGCCAACCAGTGGTTTCCAGGTAAAGCCCAAATCAATTGTCCATGGTATTTCACGTGGTCGTATTTTTTTTGTATATCTCATTGAAATCCACGATACAATTACTGACGCAACCTATTTAGCAAATAGGGAGGGTACAAAATCTGTTGGTGTTAGTGCTAGTGGTGGTATCGGTGGTGATCAAGGAAGAGGAGGTGTTAATTCAACGATGATAATGCCACCCAACTTTAGACACCATCACTATATTCCGGGGACCTTGCTCTGCTTACAGCTATATAGTGCAGCCTTATCACCATGGAGATCACCCTTCATACCGTTCTTCAAGTTGATCACTCATCACAGCAATTCTTCTGCTAATGAGTGTACCGCAGAGTTACGGTATATGTATGTTTATTCGAGAGGAAACACAACGGTGTTGAGGTCTAGTTGACAGTTGGAAACAACAGAAAGTTAAATCTGTGCGAAGTGGACGTGTGGGATCGATAAGAATCCTCTGTCCAAAAGTTTCACATGCATTCAACGGATTTTCGCACAGGTTAGTTACCAATTCCTCCAGCGGGATTGAAGAAACGAGGCTAACGATGGTCATTCCACGTCGAAGCAATAAAGTAAAACGGGGAAAATACACTGGCACACGAATTTAGAGATAATTGCTTGTTGAAAACGAAACTGACGAAGTTTAGGGATATTAAAAGAAACTTGCGAAGTTTTCTGGTGATATGTTGAATGCGAGATGTCTACTTAAGAATAGTATCAATGAAACCCCCCCCCCAGACAATTAATAAAGCTTACCCGGGATACTGGTTCAGAGCCAATCGATTCAGATCGATTCCGATGGGGAAGAAGAGCATGATCATGTCAAGATATATTCGAAACATTTGGAGGGATTAAGAGAGAGGCCAGACGTGGCGGAAAATTGTGAAAGACCAGAAGAATCGGAGATGGCCTGACAGAAAAACCACATCGTCAGCGTATTTGAAGAGAGACGTAGGGGCGCTAGCATACAAGTCAACAATATACGCAGACAATAAGCATGTGGAAAGAACTGCATCTTGAAGTATCCGGGAATTGTTTACCAATGGTTGGGATTTTTTCCGGCCTAACCAGTCACATTGAGTTTTCCCGGGGAAGTGATCGGCAAGCCAACCTAATAACTGTCTAGAACAACCAACAGTCTCCAGATTACGAAGAAGGGGGTAACGAGGAATAGAACAGTATGCTTATGAGTAGTCCAGAAACACACAACGAACAGATTTCGCAGTCACTCAAGGATTTGGTAATTTTATGCACAAGTGAGGAAACTGTATCTAGCGTGCATCTATCTGGTTTATAGGCGAACTGAAGAGGATCATATGGGACATCAAGGGAGAACTGAATGCACAAAAGTCCAAAATAGATTAAAGTGACAGGATGGAAGCGTTTGGTTAAAACGTTTGAAGTAGAGGATTTGGGAACGAGAACAATTGTTACCGGTTTCCAACAGTTAGATATCTTGCAGGTTTTTAAGGAAGCATTAAAAAATGATGTAAATATTACACTGAAAGAATAGGCCTCATATCTCTGAAGGGAAGATGAAGGATCTTCGGGATCAACACTGCACGTGCTTCCGAGTAAATGATTGACGGTAGTTGAACTGAGGATTATGCGTGAAGGTGAACTCTGAAGGATGTTCAGCTCATATTAATACCAGGTCACTTGCATCCCTTTCGGGGTCAGAGTAGGCAGAAAAGACCGTGTGCAATATAAACCAGCCACCAGAGGTTAGCGGCATGGAGTGTGAAAGTCTTTTCGCTTTAATTGTCAAGCAAATTGTACGGCATATTCCAATCGTAACCCGACACACCAACAACAAACAGGAGTGTTTTTGATAACGTGTTCCGCGGCTGAATATAATTTTATATTTGTTATTTGTGTGCGTATTCTTGTCTGCCTGCGAGTGAGTCTGTGTGGTGATGCGGGTCTACGAGATGACGCATAACCCGGAGCGACGAGTTACAGTTTTTGGACAACTGCGATCCATCAAACTTCACGTGTGACGTCAACAACGCTCGTACGTGTTACTGGTTCATACTACACACCATAGTTAGATCGTACCAGCCAATCAGAGACAATGCGGCCCAGACAGAAGCAGAACAATGCCAGGAATACTGGAACGCGATTGGTAGAGGCCCGGATAACCAATGAGTCTACTTTGTACATATTATTTAATCCCCTTTATCCCTTCCAATAAACGAACTACTACTCCTGAAGCTTTTATCTTCGTGTCTCTGTTACGTGGGATATTGCACACTAGTGCCGGTGCGGTCCAGTACTTACATGATCCAGTCCGTGATTGCTAATCATTGATTCGTATTCCGTAATTCGTATTGCGTGGTTAGTTTTCCGAGTTCAGTGCGCACTAATACTACCATTATTACAATCATTACAGTCTGTTTGTTTTTCCTATGAGGTTTTGTGACCGACAGCTTCTATAAAACCGATGCATAGCCATAGCAACCATGTGAGTCGGGGAATCGGGTCAATGGTTGCATTACCGACCTGCTTCACAGAATCATGCAAAAGGTCACGATCACATCGGGTGGTTGTATCGTGGATTTCTCAGGGTAACTGAACTGATTGAAATAATCGATTTTACATGTCATGAATTACCTCAGGCACAACCTCGTTCCTCCGGTTCCTCATGTCTGACAGTTACACTGGAATGCTCAATGAATGCTCAATGAATGCCTTCATGTACATGCAGAGCAGATTTAGCTTGAACTGGAAACAACTGAACAGATGTTTCGACCTGTCTTTTTTCTTCACCGATTTACTCTTTGAAATTGAATCGAATCCTCCATTATTCACATGAGTACTTTAGCTGTTCGAGGAAAGAGTTTTTCAGTACAAGCTGTCCACCAACTGTGTATCGTGAAACTAATGTTACTTTGGATGGTCTCAAAATGCGGATAAATGATGGATTTCGCAGTGTAAACATATGACAGTTTGGTTGAACAGGTGATTCAGTGGGGGAACAACTGAATTACTGCTCAATGACTGTCACGTGACTTTAACATGAAGATTATTTTTCAGGTTCATTCACCTGCACTCCTCAATACCACCATGGTAAGGCAGACGAGGTTCAAATCAATAACGAAGAAATCCGAATACTCAGCATATTGTGACAACAGACCTAACATGTGCGTTTCTTTATTCAGTCCTCTATTGACACGTAATCCACTGTGGTGTTCCAGGAAATATTCTGGTGGTTTGTTCGACAGGGAACAGTGCCAAAGTGGATCAAATGACATAAAATGGGGTGAAATTTCAAAGCCAAGAATTATCCGTCCGTTTGTATTGTTATAACAAATAAAAAGAAGTTATCATTCCATGTAATTTGTTTGCACTTCTCAGATTCCCAAATGATTAAACTTTTCCCTTTAGGGTTGTCTTGGTGGCTTCTCCATGAATGACCGGCCGGCAGTAGACATGCTACGAGAGTTTCAAGTTCCCGCGGACCTCACACATGTGAAATGCAAGAATGCGCCGTCCCCCGGTTGTCAAGAGTTTACCAATCCGAGCAACCAATGTGCAACCACAGTACCAACCCGACCGACAAAACTCACCACATTCAATTCGATCCCCTGGTTGTCCGATTGGAAACAACAGCCTGGTTCGCCGTGCAAGAACGCGGGCGAATGTTTCGAGTTGTGGGGGAATGTTCGATGTCGTTGCGAGAAAACCACGTTCAAAGGAGCTCAATGTAACCAGGGTAATGTTTGTTGTCGAACTCGATTTGTCACAAAGGAAACCAAATAGTTAATATAGAGTATCCAGCTTGGAATAGCCCATTCGATTGCTCAGAGGCACATCATCAAGACCATCAAGAGAGCCTGGTGAACAATCGAACGAGCTAATCCAAGATTGCTACTTTAAAATTGATTGAGTCATTCCTTCAAGGTGATGCAACACAATCTGGTATTCTACTTGAGAGTTCGGGTGATTTGGATCACATGGTACATTTAGTCGTGTACAGGCCCGATGAAGCGGTTGGCGGCTATTTCAAACTGGTTGGGTTTAATCAGTGCCACACACCGGACAGCGAATCAGACTGTATTTCATTATCCGGA